AAGGTCCACGTTGTAAAATAAGTCAGAAGCCATCTTGAATAATTGGAGACCTTCTACCAGATTGTCTCAGTTCAGTTCAGTTCAGGCACTCAGTCATGTCCGACACTTTGCGACCACATGCACTGCAGCATGCCAGGCCTACCTGTCCAACTCCAACTCCCAGAGTTTACTCCAACTCATGTCCATCAAGTCGGTGATGCCATCCAACCATCTCATCCTCTGTCATCCCCTTCCTTCTCCTGCCTTCACTCTTTCCCAATGAGTCAATTCTTTGCATTAGGTCACCAAAGTATTAGAGTTTCAGCTTCAGCATCAGTCCTTCCAATGAATATCCAGTACTGATTTCCTTGAGGACTGACTGGTTGGACCTCCTTGCAGTCCAAGGGACTTTCAAGAGTCTTCTCTAACACCACAGTTCAAAAGCATCAATTCTTTGGCGCTCAGCCTTCTTGATGGTCCAACTCTCACATCCATACATGGCTGCTGGACCTTTGACTAGACGGACCTTTGTTGGTGAAATAGTGTCTCTGCTTTTTAATTGCTGTCTAGGTTAGTCATAGCTTTTCTTCCAAGGAGCAAGCATCTTTTAATTTCAGCTTGTCTAATGTCCATCTATTTTCCAGCACTGCTTCTGAGTCTTCTTCCTCATCATCTGGAACAGGTTTGGAAGCTCTCATCTCCATCAAGTTATCTTCTCTCAATTCCTCTGGTGTGTTGTCTATTAGCTTCAGAGTTTCTCCAAGATTCTTATCTTGATACCCTTAACTCTACTCCACCACTTTTCTTTTCTTTTTTTTGCCATATCCACAATTTCAAGATTTTCTTGACTGGCTCCATAGTAAATCCTGTGGAGTCAGGCACACCTTCTGGATCTGGACATAGTTTTCTCCAGTAGAAATTTGTTGCATTGGGTTTGGATGGCTTTCACAGCCTTTCTCTACAACAATGATGGCATATTCAATGGTGCAATTTTTCCAAACTTCTGTAATGTTCTCTTAATTGATATTCTTTTCCATAGCATTAATAATCCTTTCCCTAGTGTCCTGTGCGTAATAAATCTTAAAGTTCCTTATTGTTACCAAGTCCAAGTTAGTGCTACTCACTTCATGATAGGCCAGTAAGTTGAGAGACAAGGTGCTGGGGCGAGACATAGTGACTTTATTTGAAAAGTCAGCAATCTGAGAGGATGGCGAAATACTGTCTTAAAGAGCCACCTTAACTTGGAGTAGATTCAGGTTTCTTTTATGCTAAGGGAAAAGGGGAAGTGGGAGGGTTCAAGATTAAAGGGTAAAGGCAGACTGCAGGGTTTTTGGAGCCACTTGTCCTCCAAGGGAAGCATAACATTTCTTTGTTCCACTTGATCATATAGGCTAAATTACAAGGCTCCTGCAAAATGAGTTGTTAGCAGTTATTTTTACTTTACCATTCTTATCTCTAGTTACTTATAAGGTTTCTAGGCTAAAAGTGAGCTTATCTACAACATGTAACTAACAAGGACAAAGGGATGGGGACTTCTTCTCAGAATTTAATGAGCTATTTGGGCACAAGCAACATTTCTCTGGGGTTTCCCAGGTGGTGTTAGTGGTAAAGAATCCACCCGCCAATGCAGGAGATGTAAGAAACTTGGATTTGATCCCTGACTCAGGAAGATTAGCCTGGAGGATCCTATGGACAGAGGAGCCTGGTAGGCCTCAAAGGAGTCCATAGGGTTGCAAAGAGTTGGGCATGACTGAAGTGACTTAGCATGCATGCACAGTTCTCTAATGTTTGACATGCAGGGCTAAAGTAATAGAATATATAGGGCTCATGAATGAGGGATGGAGTTTCAACATGGTGTTAGCACTGCTCTTCTTGTTACATTATGACCCTCTGATCTAGAGGCCACAGTACAGCTGTTGTATCTAGGGGCAAGTAGACCATTTGTACCTCTTTGATGCTGAGCTCAAGGGATTCTAGGTGGCCAGGGTCATTGTCCAATATCAAAAGAACTTTAAAATTCAGCCACTAACTGGCAAGGTACTTCCTGACTGACCAATCCAGAAAAGGGGTTCCATTGTCCAGACCTTCCTGTGGTACAATCAAGACTGGCAACTGGTTTGATCTTTTCAAGACTCAGAGGTTAGCAGCTTTATTATTAAGGGCTGTCCTGATCATAAACTTGACTGTATTTGCACAGAATGATAGTGTTAGCCTATTCCTTCCTACTTTAAAGCCTAGCACTTGCTTCTCTTCCTTACTAGTAAATGTCCTTTGTGGCTTTTTTTTCCCCCCAGAATAGGCAGTTTTGTCTGCATTAAAAACCTGGACAAGCAGGACACCCTTTCAGAAAGATTATTCCTGTTCAAAAAGATGCCCTTTCTCCTCATTTTCTTAATGGCTTTTGGGAAATTGTTGCCTCTCAGTCAGCAGAAGCTGCTTCTCCTGTTATCTTGACATTTGTTAGGCCAAATCTCTTTCTAAAAATTATCAAACCATCTTTTGCTGGCATTAAAATTCTCTAGATTGAGATCCTTCACCTTCCTTTTGCTTTAAGTTGTCACTTAATGATTTTGCTCTTTCTTGAATCATATTAGAGTGTGTAGATATGGCTTAGAGCAATCCTGTGCCCACAGAAAATCTACACTTTCAATACAAGATAAAAAGGCATTTCTCAAAAAGTGCAAAGTTTTCCCACCTTCTGGCATAGTTCCAGTAATGGCCTCATGATTCCCTTTTCTTTTTCTACTGTAGTCCTTATGCTAGATTTATTTATCTTGAAACATTGGGCAATCGCAGCAGCAGACCCCAATCTACAGCACCTATCAAGCAATTCAACTTTTTCTTGTAATGTCATTACTTTTCTGTTTCTTGGGAACATTTTCAGCATCACCCGTGATACTTCCTATGGGTCCCCTGGTGTTACTCAAGGTTTACAGTATTGCACTGGAGACAGTGAAAAATAGTTGAGTACCATAGGAGATCATTTTTTTTTTTTTACTGCCATATGCGTTTTACTAGAGAGGTGATTGTTCACAGGGAGATGATTGGCATCGCATGGCATTTTAAGCAGGTATTTATAACACTTATGTGTGCCAAGTTGTTTCAGTCGTGTCCGACTTGGTGTGACCCTGTGGACTGTAGCCTGTCAGGCTCCTGTATTCATGGGATTCTCCAGGCAAGAATACTGGAGTGGCTTCAAAATTATTACAGTAAATACTGCAGATAATTTTACCGAGTTATGATTTAATGCTACCTCTTTATGTTTGTTTACATTTCTCTTGATTGCCAATGGTACCACATATGACCTTCTTGTGTTTGCTTTGATACATTTTGGCTTTTTATAATGGATTTGTGACATTTTCATGGTAGTAAATGATAAAACAGACTAGGATCTACATGTATTTTATGCATTCATGACATATCTGACTTTTAATTTTTTTTTGTTATTTCTAGGCTACACAATTCATCTATGAACTTTTAAACCGTTGCAAATCTCCAAAATTTTCCCAAAATGATATTTTTTGGAATTTTTTTCCAAAATTAAAAAATGATACTTGTGTGTAAGTAGACCCGTACATTTCAAAACTTGTACAGGGCAACTTGAATATCTTGATCCATACACATACATACACATTTTCCCATAGATAGCTTGTATACCAAAAACCTAAAAACAAAGCAATTAACTGGTTAAATTATGGTATATTTATACTGTGGACTGTGCTGTGTTGTGCCTAGTCATTCAGTCGTGTTCGACTCTTTGTGACCCAGTAGACTGTAGCCCACCAGGCTCCTCTGTTCATGGTGATTTTCCAGGCAAGAATACTGGAGTGGGTCGCCATGTCCTTCTCCAAGCGATCTTCCTAACCCAGGGATTGAACCCAGACCTCCTGCATTGCAGGTGGATTCTTTATGGTCTGAGTCACCAGGGAAGGCCATACTATGGGATATTGCACAGCAATTAAAAAATTATACATTACTNCAAGCGATCTTCCTAACCCAGGGATTGAACCCAGACCTCCTGCATTGCAGGTGGATTCTTTATGGTCTGAGTCACCAGGGAAGGCCATACTATGGGATATTGCACAGCAATTAAAAAATTGTACATTACTTTTGACTAGACTTTTTATTATATAGTGAGAAAAATCAAGATTTTTTAATGTATAATAAAATGTTTATTTGTAAAACAAGCTATGATATAACATAAAATATTGATGTATAAATTATAGGAGATGAGTCAAAAATATGGTAATATCCACACCAGATTGTTCCCATAGATTATTTGGGAGGGAAGATTGGTAGATCATAGAGCTGTAAAGGGAAGTATAGGCAAAGAATAATAGAGAAAAATGCATGTATTTGCATATTTAATTAAGTAAATTTACAAAACATATGTATAAAGAATTACTTGTATACAGAATTACATGTATTTTGTATACATATACATATATGTATAATTACATTTTTAATAATACTTAAATGAAAAAAATAAAACCATCTATTGAGGTGGAAGTGCTTCCTTGCTGGCTCAGAGGTAAAGAAACTGCCTGTAACACAGGAGACCCAGGTTCAATCTCTGGCTCGTGAAGATCCCCTGGAGAAGGAAATGCAACCCACTCCAGTATTCTTGCCTGGGAAATCCCATGGACAGAGGAGCCTGGCGAACTACTGTCCACGGGATTGCAAAGAATCGGACACAACTGAGTAATTGAGCAGACAGGCATTGAAGTGGAACAATTTTGACTGGTTCAAAAATACTGTGGGAGTTTTTTTTTTTTTTTTATCACAGAAAGTCATGAATTGGAAATGTGTATTTGGGAAAGTCAGTTTCTACTATGTGCCTCAGTTAAGACATTCACTATTTTTTGGAAACTAGCATACAGGAACATGTTCTGAGTTACAAAATCTGCAATGCTGGTACACAGAACAATAGATATATGTGATCACATTCTCTATGCCGGGGTTCCTCTGACTCATTGTTAAGGGTCCAAACTCTTAAACTTTGAGTGTGTGCTTAACCCACAAATGTTCTTGTCCAATGAAGGAGGTTTGTTGACGTTCTGCTTTGAAAGAATTTTAAAAAGGTATAAGTCCGAAGCAAATAGTTTTATTAAAACAGTTTCTTTTAAAGTTTCATTTGTTTGGTGAGTTTCTCTCTTTCTTTTCTGAGTGTGCTTTTTCATGCTTGCATCTAGACTCATATAGTTTCATCTCTATCCTACTCAATGATTTCAAAGCATATTAAAAAAATTCTATTTGAAAATCTTTAAAGTTACAGAAAAACAACAGCTATTTTTTCTCATTGTTGCATTTTTCAAAGGCATTAAGAGCCTATTCTAGTACTAACTCAAAATGTAGCAATTCAGAGTGAGACACATACACCTTATTACATTCCAAAATATTTTGAGACTATTTTTTATTGAAATTAGAAAATTTAAAACTCAAATAATAGCTTTCTGGGAAAAACCAATAAAGTAACATCAAAACATGGAAACTAACTTCTAAGGTCTATTATTCAATTGACCTAACCTCTTATTTTTATCAACAGGCAAACTTAGAGATAATGAAAAATAGGTTTTTCTTCTCCGGAAGAAAAGTGGTGTTGGGCACGCCCTGGTCACTTTTTCTTCTCTTTCTTTTTTTTGTGTGTGTCGGGAGCTGGGATTTTCTTTTCTGGCTCCACTCGACTTGCGGCTTCCTCCGCAGCTTGAGCCTCCAGCTTTAGGCGCTCAGCTTCCAGTAATTTGTTCCTGTATTCTTCCCGGATGTTAAAGATCTTCTGCCGGGCTTCGTCTAAGGAGTCCTGTTCCAAAATGAAACAAAATGAAGCGACAAAAACAACGGCAAAAAACAAAAGCAACACCCAAGTAAATAAGATCCACGGTAGAGACTTATTAAGGTTCCAGAAAAAAAACTACACTCCATTTCCTCATGCCAATAGCGTCATGTAGGAAATTACTGAAGGAAGATGAAAGTTAGGGTATGATCTCAAATGTTTATTAAAGAATAAAACATGAGATAACAAAGGGTACATGAGGTTTTACAGAATGGTAAATAAAAGCACAAGTGGGAGAAAAATAAAGAGAAAAGTGAAGAAAGAAAGAGGCGGATTTTGACCAAGCAACTACCTGCTTTAAATGAGTTCAGATATACTCTGTATAAAATATGCAGCCCAGCGTGTCTCTCCCAGCCACTGTACTCAGCAGATGACGAGCTCCCCACACATACTCTAGCCGCAAAATATCTGAGTTGTACTTGGGGAACTTCCTAATAATACCATTTCTTTTCTTCCTCTCTCTTCACCTTCACTTCTTAAGGTGGATGGTGCCACCAATTTCTGAGCCTTTGAGGGATTCTGTGCAGCAGATTGGGTTGACTCTTTCTTTGCTGCTGTTGTTGGTTTTTTCTTTTAATTTATTTTTTAATTGGAATAAAATCGCTTAATAATGTCGTGTTGGTTTTTGCCTTACCACACAAATCAGCCACAATAACACATACACCTCCTCCCTTCTGAGCCGCCCTCCCCTCCCCTCATCCCGCTCCTCTAGGTCATCGCAAACCGCCAGGTGGGCTCCCTGTTACGCAGCAACTTCTCACCAGCTCTCTATTTTACACAAGGCAGTGGATATATGTTGACGTTACTTTCTCCATCCCTCCCACTCTCTCCTTCCCCCAACGTGTCCACAAGTCCATTCTCTGTATCTGCGTCTGCATTCCTTCCCTGCAAATATGTTCATTAATACCATTTTTCTAGATTCCAGATATATATGTGTTACTATATGATACTCATTTCTCTCTTTCTGACTTACTTCACTCTATGTATGACAGGCTCTAGGTTCAGTCTTAAGAGTTTTTGTACTGCTGGCTTAGGATTTGGCTGCCTCAAATCTGTTAATGCCTTCTTCCTCCAGCTACTTTCCAAATTCACAGATGTTTCGCTGTTGTTTTCTCTCCCGTTCTTCCCATTTTGTGGGTCAGTTTCTAGTACTGTATTTAAGAGGGATTTCAGGGAATGAGTAAATTAGATGAATAATTAATTTGCCAATTTTCTGAGAAGTTGGGAATGAAAGATTTTCAAGACTTCTTTCTACCTAGTTAAAATATGATTCTATGATATCTTTTTAATATTACAAAAGAATCTGTTAACCGTGATCCAAGCGTATGCCCTTGTACACTCACCCGCATTTCTCCATACATCTGTAGCACTTCATCTTTCATTTTAAACCTTTCTTCTTGCTCGATATCACGCAGGCTGAGGATTCTGTTCCGATACTGTCGAAACTGGTGGACCTCCTCTGCCTTCTGCATTGCCTGTTGCTGATTTAGCTCATCTGTTTGCAGCAGAGCCTCAATATTTGTTTTTCTTGATATAAAAACATCAAAAGAGAAACATAAGTCATTTGAGAACTCTGGAAGGACCTTCAGCACTCAAATAATTTCAAATCTTATCAACAGAGTAGTGATCTGAATCAAATCAAATATCAGAAACAGAAAGAATAAACCACTATTTTTTTCATGGACTAGGCTCTATTTACTAAATCACTAATATTTTAGAAAAATAAATTATATGTAATATTTGAAGAGGTGTTTGTGGAATTGGTGTTTGAAACTACAAAATAATCTCATAGTTTCAAACACCAATTCCACAAACACCTCTTCAAATAGTACATCTAATAAACTAGGTTTGAAAGTGTTTAGAAATGTGCTTTATAAAATTTATAGCTGTGCTTGTACAATTACCTCTATTAATTCTACTGTTTGGTTCCTAAGGAAATTCAATCTAATTAAATAACAGCAGCATGTATGATGGGGTTTTCCCCTGGCTCAACTCACTTTAACCAAGCTACAAATTAAGTCCTTGCAGAAAATATTTAAGTGCTTCTATAACTGACTTAATAAAACATTTGCTAAATTTAACATACAAGCTATATATTTCAAAAAATTCAAATGCACTGAAAATATATTAAGCATTTAATTTCAAATTTTCAGTTGTTCAGCAACTGCCTATTGACGATATGTTCAAAATTCTATGAACACAGATGTCTACATTAATCATGTTTATTAAAACTTACCGTATATATTGATTTATGTCTACACATTGTAATTTCTTTCGAATAAGCTGTGGAGACATTTCCAAAATTGTTGGCGATCGTGAACGAGGCCCTATTTAAAAAAAAAAAAAGTCCTAGGCTTTCAAGAAGGAATCAACAATGATTAAGTAAAGATTGTATATCTTATTTAAATTGAAATATGTTGGGCTTACCATGTTTAATGTGATTTAATGACTTTATTGAAGTATAATTATGCTTTATTGCTTATCCTCTAGCTGGTTTTACTATACTTGTAGTTAAATGGTGATACCAAAATTAATATAGAAGAAAATGAATATGTTCTATAGAAGAGTTACAAAATCACTCTATTATAATTAAATGAAAGCAGAGACCAAAGAAGGTCATACTGTGTTACAAAATTTCATTATAAGCAAGTTAAATTATCTAATATTTAAAGAGTTTGATCTATCTGTGCAAGCTATACTAAGCACTACGGGGGTGGAATATAAAATTGTTTTTAAGACAGTAGCCCAGGAAACAGAAACAACTGAAATGTCCAATGACAGATGAATGAATAAAGATGATGGAGATATATATATATATACACACATATATACACACAATGGAATATTAATTAGCCATAAAAGGAACATAATTGGGTCATTTGCAGAGTTGTGGATGGACCCAGAGTCTGTCATATAGAGTGAAGTAAGTCAGAAAGAGAAAAACAAATATCATTTGTTAATGCAGATACGTGGAATCTAGAAAAATGGTACAGATGGACCTATTTCCAGAGCAGGAATAAAGATGCAGACATAGAGAATGGACATGTGGACACAGATGGGTAAGGGGAGGGTGGAATGAATTGGGAGACTAGGATTGACATATATTCACGACCATGTGTAAAATAGACAGTTTGTGGCAACCTGATGTATAGCAGAGGGGGCTTAGCTTGGTGCTCTGTGATAATCTAGAGGGGTGGACTGGAGGGTGGGAGGGAGGTACAAGAGGGAGAGAATACATATATAAATATTATAAACATATAACTGATTCACTTCTTTGGATGGATGGGTGGGAATGCTTTGGGCTATAAGTCTCAATATACTAAGAGACCACTTCTCCCTAAATTGACCCATAAATTCAGTGTAAATTCTATCAAAATCTTAGTAGATATTTTACAAAATTTGACAAGCAGAGCTCAAAACTTATATGAAAATGGAAATACCAAGAATAAACAAAATAATCTTGATAAAGATTAAGGGGAAGGATTTCAACTTCATGATTTCAGAATTTATTACGAAGCTAACAATAATCAAAACATTATGATTTGACAGTTTCTTATTTTTGATCCCTATTTGCATAAAATATCCAGGAATGGCAAATCTACGTAGACAAAAAGACTGAGGCTGGTGGTGGGAATGCAGAGTGACTTTAAGAGGGCACAAAAGAATTTATTTGGATAAAAGGAAAGTTTTGAAACTATATTTGGTACTGGTGGCACAACTCTGTAAATTACTAAAGTGTATTGAATTATACTTTCAAAACTGATAATTTGAAGGTATGTAAATTACACGTCAGTATTTTTTAAAAAGAGATTAAATGGTCTGGAAAGGCTGAATGGTTAATATCTTAGTCTCTAAAGTTTCTTTCTTGAATCTATTCTTGTGGGTTCATATGAGTCTGTGGGGGTAAAAAAAAAAAAAAACCCAGTTACCTTTGATTTTCAGTGTTCACTTGCTATACATTAGCTACTCTACTGGACTAAAAGATACTGTATCTTTTTTGTTTTTCTTTGAGAATAATTGCTTTACAATGTTGTGTTAGTTTCTGCTATACAACAAAGTGAATCAGCGGTGTGTTTATATTTATGTATGTATTCTCTCCCTCTTGTACCTCCCTCCCACCCTCCAGCCCACCCCTCTAGATTATCACAGAGCACCAAGCTCAGCCCCCTCTGCTATACATCAGGTTGCCACTAATTGTCTATTTGACACATGGTCATGGATATATGTCAATCTTAGTCTCTCAATTCATTCCACCCTCCCCTTACCCATCTGTGTCCACATGTCCATTCTCTATGTCTGCATCTTTATTCCTGCTCTGGAAATAGGTCCATCTGTACCATTTTTCTAGATTCCACGTATCTGCATTAACAAATGATATTTGTTTTTCTCTTTCTGACTTACTTCACTCTATATGACAGACTCTGGGTCCATCCACAACTCTGCAAATGACCCAATTATGTTCCTTTTATGGCTAATTAATATTCCATTGTGTGTATAT